TTTGCTAGAAAATGATTCATTTGACTACAAAACCCTATTTGATCTAAATGTCTTTTCATATAGCACACAAGTAGGTCAAGTATGTCTTCTTTTTGGATTTAAAGAGGCTAGAAAGTTATTTTAATGCAAATAATAAACAATGGATCAATCATAGATTTTTTAAAAGTTTAATAGTTGGTTGACTTATCAATCATTAAAATATTTGAGTAATGCAGGATTAACAGAAGTAGTTTTTTAAAATGGAAGATTTATTTATTTTTATTTAAAAATTTTTATGGAATTTGCCAAAACTGGTTTGTCCCAGTGGATAGAGCATCAACCTCCAAACTGAAAGGTCCCAGGTTCAATTCCGGTCAAGGGCATGTACCTTGGTTGTGGCACATCCCCAGGGGGGTGTGCAGGAGGCAGCTGATGGATGTTTCTCTCTCATCCATGTTTCTAACTCTCTGTCCCTCTCTCTTCCTCTCTGTAAAAAATTAATAAAATATATTTAAAACAAATAAAAAAATAAAGAAAAATTTATGGAATTTATTGGGGTAACATTGGTTTAGAGAAAATAATTCAAGTTTCTAAAAATGTCCAAATTTATTCAAAACTAAAGGCCTGGTGCACAAAATTCGTACACTTGGTGTGGGAAAGGTCCCTCAGCCTGGCCTGTGCCCTCTCGCAGTCTGGGAGCCCAACGGGATGTCCAGCTGACGGCTTAGTGGGCCAGAGCCGGCAGTTGGACATCCTCCTTAGCATTGCCACGGAGGTGGGAGAGGCTCCCACGCTACCGCTGTGCTCGCCAGTTGTGAGCCTGGCTTCTGGCTGAGTGGTGCTCCCTTGTGGGAGCGCATTGACCACCAGGGGGCAGCTCCTGCACTGAGTGTCTGCCTCCTGGTGGTCAGTGTGCATCATAGTGACTGATCATTCTGCCATTCGGTCATTTGCATATTAGCCTTTTATTATGTAGGATACGCTGTAGATGAGGCCCCCTAGAACATAAGAAATGCAAAAAATTCACTGTCAACTCATTCTCGAATTGCTCCCACTTAAAGTCAAAATGCCCCCCTGTGGGGCGTGTGCTGCACCTTGGGAACCAGTGGGCCTGACACTTCTCCTCTCTGAGCTTCATTTCTGAGTACATCCTCATATACCATGGGGATTGTAATCTCTTCTCCGCCTGCCTCACTGGGTTCTCATGAGGAGGTGGAGCTAATAAACCTAGACATGCTTCATCAAGTAATTGATGTCTAAACGGGAAGGGGCTGCTGTTTTTAAGCTCACAGGTACCCTCGCAGGTAGCAGGTGCTGAGTGGGGGAGGAGGGCAGGATTGTCTCCTGGGGCTGTAGCTAGGGAAGCTCTGCAGAGGGTCCGCAGGCTCGGAGGGGGGCTCTGGCCAGCAGCCTGTAGCGGCGGTCCTGCCTGGAGGCGCTGGCAGGGGCAGGGAGTTAGGGGGGCGCTGGGGGGCGGTGAGGCTGAAGGGGAGTAACTGTCAAACTTGCCCGCTGGGCGCCGTCCTTTGAATTGTACCTGGCGGTTTTGCAGCTGTGCTTTTCGGGGCGGGGCTCCAGTCTCCTGGAGTGGGCGGGGGCCTGGCAGGCTGGGAGGGCAGGTTTAGCCGCACCCCCAGCGAGGTTCAGCATGCTTCCCCTGCAGAGATGGAGCTGCTGCTGTGGGGAGGCGGGGGGAGGGAGGGAGAGAAAGGGACTGACCCTGGGGGTCGCTCAGGCCTGCCTCCACCCGGGTCTGGAGTTGTAGGGAGGAGAGGAGTGCCCGACCCCTGGGTGCCTCGGGGTGCCGACGGGTGGTCCCCGGCATGCTATTGTCCTGGGCGCCCCTGTGGCTGGGAAGAGACTGGGAGTCGGAGGTGTGGACTGCAGCTACTCCCGAGGCCGGCTCTTCTCCCCGTCTGGTCAGCCTCCCTGTCCCTGGGGTTAAGGTGTCCGTGCAGGGAGACTGGAAGAGCTCCCTATGGCTGCTTCCTCTTCCTGCTTTGCAGTTGGGGGCTCCTGTCAGGCACTGACCTCAGACTCCTGGGAACTTGGTTCGGTCCCCCTGCCCCCTGCTGTGTGCCCATCAATATGCAAACTGGTTGTTATGGGGACACCATCACGGACAAATTAGCATATTACCTCTTTATATGTATAGATTATATGTATAGATAAGGGAAACACATACTAAAAGTACACTTAGCCTCTGTTTTCACTTATCAGATTGGCAAGATTCAGGTTTCACAACAGTTGGCAAGGGAATGGGGAAACAGGCCCTCACATACTGCTGATAAGAATGTAAAATTATGTAACCCGCAGGGACCAGTTTAGCTATATCTATCTACATCACCGAAACAGGCCCAGCCATCTCATTTCTGGGAAGTTATTCAACTGCTGCACCTGGACAGTCACCAGAAGAAATATTTACAAGGCCACGGATTTGGGCGCTATCTGTAATAACGCAATATTGGAAACAATCCAAGATTGCATTAATAGGAGGCTACTTAAAGTGATATAGGCAGCAAAAACTACTATGAAAATTAGGAAGCTCTCCATATACATGTTTAAATGGAACACTTCAGGTACAGAATAGTATTTTAGATGCTTAAAATATGCCCAGAAATGAAAACATGCATTCATATTTACTGTATCTTCACAAAGAAACACTGAACGTTTCCCCCAAGAAATGTATAAAGTAAAAAGTGTTTATTCAGGGTAAGGAGACAGTCCGGATGCAACCAAGACTTACCAAGGTACCTTTTCATTTTGTCTTATTTATATGCTACTTTACTTAAATCAAGATGGTTTGTGTAAAACAAAATATAAATCAAATATTTAAATTCTCTCTTTACTCCACTTTTGCCTCAAGGTTTTTATTTCTCTGTCCCTGTTAGTGAAAAATTTCATAAAAGAATTATCTCCACTTGCTCACCCATCACTCACTCTTCAACCTGCTGGATCTACTCTTGCTGCCTCCCCACCAGTCAAAAACTACTCTGGCTGAGGTCCTTAACAACATCCATTGTGACAAAGCCATGCAACACTTTCTGACCTTATCATTCTGGACTATTGACTGCCTCCTTGATGGGTCAGGGACCCTATGGTGCTCATTCTCCTCCCACTTCTCTCTCCTGTTTCCACTCCTCCCTGAGCTCTCACTGTAGTTTTTCTCACCTGGCTCTCTGGGCTGGTCCTGGGTCATCTTTTATTCTGCTACTAGAAGTTCTCCTCAAACTCCTTAACTCTAAATATCGTACTTATGTGGCACCAACATCTTATCTCTGACGCAGACCACCCACTGAACTCTAGCATCCCATAGTCACACGTTTGGGTGTATACGTGGCTGTCGGTGGCTATCTCCATGTTAACCTGGACACAGCAGAATTAGTTCCCACCATCCTCACCACCCAGACACTTACTGTTCCCCAGTTACCTTCATTTCAGCAAATAAAATCACTTCCCACTTAGTTGTTTAAATAGAAACCTAAGAGGTAATTCACTTCCTTTCTCTTAACTCCTTACCCAATCTATTATTAAATCTAGTCAATCATACTTAGAGACTATATCTTGATCTGTATACTTGTGTGTTTTCTCCCCCACTACTCCAATTTGATCTCTCACCTGCACCACAATAACAACGTATCTGTCAGGGTTCTCCAAAGAAACAGAATCAACAAGATTATCTATCTTTAAAGGAATTGGCTCATACAATTGAAAGGCCTGGCAAGTCAGAGATCTCTAGGGTAGGCTATGAAATACACATCTGTGCAATACATTCACAGCAACATCTGGACTAGTGTTTGCCCAAGCAACTAGACACACCATAGCCCACCCAAGATGACACATAAAACCAAAACGAGTGATTCTCATTAGTTTCTTATTTCCATGTTAACCTCATTTCCCGATCAGATTCCCACACAACACCTGGCATAACCCTTCTAATCGCGTCTCTTCCATGGTTCAACTATTCCCGTTGCTTCCCACTGCACTTGAAATAAGACCCAAACACTTTGCCTACAGGTTCATCTACCAGTTGTTTTCTCCTCTGCATTTACCGCGCTCCGGCCATCTGGAGAACTGGCTGTGCACCCAGCGTGCTGAATTCTCTCCTATGCTAGGGCCTCTGCATATACTTCTCAGATGTGATACGGATTTGTGAAGGAATAAATAACAAATAATCCCCTCCTTTGCAAGATAGCTCACTTTGTTAAGTGTTATTCTCCGAAAGCACCAGGATTGAGGTAAGTACAGCTGTGCTAATTACACTATCCTTGTAGGACATTTCCCATTTAACCACTCACAAACCTGCCATGCTCAGTGCCCATTCTGCCTCTGATCCTGGTGTCAATACCTGTTATTCTAGTTGATTCTTTCCATGTATTATTAGTGGTTCATTCAGCTCTATTTGATTTTATTGTGAATTTGATCCCATTTATATGTCTTTAAAAATCCCTAAATCCTTTGGACTTACCTGTTTTCTGGCTTTGAAGTTTTATATTTCTTCTACCATTTTAATGTGAGCTTAAGATGAGGAAGATGGGAGTGCATGCATTTAGTCAGTCAGGTTCCTGTGACTGTGAATTTATCATTCAAAACACCAGAACAGAACCTCAAAACATATTAATGAAGATGGTTTTATTGAATTACAGGAAAGGGCACATAAAAATTAAGTATTTGAGTAATTTAACTAATTATTCAAAACTAAAAACTTTAAATGTTAAAAAGTACATTTTTAGTAAGTATTTAGACAATAGCTACTTATTTATTAAGAGTTTTGTGATTAAGGCAAATATTTAGTTATGCATTGAATCCCCATATTCCCCATATAGGTAAAAAAAAGATGATTAAAATTTATTATTAAAGCAAATTAAAGTTAATTAAAGAAAAGCTATCGCATAATAAGGAAATACCGCACGGGCTTAATGAATGTCAGATCCTCTCCTCCATTTCATGCTGAAGAACCACAAACTCTCCTCTCACCTCTCCTAAGAAAGCATTTGAAAACACTGTACATAAAAGAAACCTTAAAGTTTGATCTCACCTAACATTATTTGATCATAAAGTTCTTTGGTCAATGGAACATAAGTTTTTTTCAAGTTATCCATGAAGTAAAGCGGATCAGAAATTTTCAATGGACTAAATCCTTCTTGCACCAACTGAAACTTCTTTGGTTTGAATGTCCCTGTTGTTTCCATCTTTTCCTATAAAGTAGTTACCAGGATTAGTGGAATCATTAAATATGATATATACCACAAAAGTAACATGTTTAAACAATATAGACTATAAAGAGTTACAACATTTTCAGACCCAATGGCCATCTCTACTTACTACTACTAATAAAACATTAGAAATTAAAAATTTGGCCTCTAGCCAGGACCGGTTTGGCTCAGTGGATAGAGCGTCGGCCTGCAGACTGAAAGGTCCCTGGTTCAATTCTGGTTAAGGGCATGTACAGGTTGCGGGTACATCCCCAGTGTGGGGTGTGCAAGAGGCAGCTGGTCGATGTTTCTCTCTCATCGACGTTTCTAACTCTCTTTCCCTCTCAATTCCTCTCTGTGTAAAATCAATAAAATATATTAAAATATAAATAAATAAAAAATAAAAATTTGGCCTCTAAACATTTAAATCTTTAGCTTGATTTAGCTGTGAACTTTGTTCAACATATAAAAACTATGAACATAGTCAATAACTGATTACAACGGATTATAAATGTCTAAGACACATAGGTTTTTCTCCTCAATTCAGTATCAATATAATTATGTACAGAGAATGCTGTTAAACACGAAGATAAAGCATGTAAAAGATAGATATCTATTCCATAAGGCAGGTTACTATAACAATCAGAGGGAGAAAAGAATGATCTAAAACTTGAGTTTCCAAGCTATTCACTGAGGTGCATTGTGGTACCTCAGTGAATTTCTAGGGTTTCCACAGAATATTTTAAATTTTCAAAATGAACCCAGTGCCATCTGTTAGTCACCACTTAGAAACAACTACTTTAATGTTAGTTTGTGTTACATTCATTTCAGTAATGTCCTATCTTTGCGAAACAGAATTTTCAGTGGAGCTGTGATAAAAAGAAAAACCAAATCAACATGTAACATGGAATTAGGTTGGGCTTGTTCAGTCCAATCTAATTCCAAAATTTGAAGAGTTGTGCAATACCATACTTACACATCTTTATTTCTGTGGATATTTGAAAATGAGATAAAAGAATTTTTATTTCACTTTATGTGTATTATTTTTTCAAATGGCAACTAATTTGTTAGACCCAAATACTCGTTAATTTGTTTTGGCCTAACCGCTGAATAAACAAATGTTTAGGTTTTTTTTTTTTTTGGTCCAAGAGTGTCATAAAATAATTACTGAGACATTAAAGATACCATGAATCTAGAAAGTTTAAAAAGCTCGTTTTAAGGGATTTAAAGGAGATAAGAGGGAATCTCTGGCAGTTTCCAGCATGGAGAGGCAACCTTGTTTAAATCAGTGACATGTGGAGTCTGTATGGAGTTCTATGAGTAACTTGGTTGTTTTGATTTATACTTCTAAACAAGTACTAGACTCAACTTCTCTTTGAACCTCTTTCCCTGATCTCATGCATTCTCTCCCCTCTCCTACCAAACATCTCAGAATCTTTGATTATTTCCTAAGGATAAATTTCTGGGAATAAAATTACTATGGCAAAATATATGCAAATTATAATAGTCTGATCACATAATTAGCACATAGTTTCCTAGAGAGGTTATAACAATTTGTGTTTCAAAATTAAAGGATCAATTTAATTTCTCCCAGCCATACTAAATAATAAAACATTTAAATTTTTCTTATAAATTTATTTACAAGAGAATTCTTTTAAAATTTGTGCTAATCAGATTCTTAATAAAATAATTGTTTTATTCATTTTTTCAGAAGATACTTTTTTGTCAGATACTTTTGTTTATATCAGATCATAACTCATTTATTAAATAAATATTTTGACAACAAAGTGTCATGCATTATTCTAACTATAGTAAATACTGTATTAAACATAACAGTCATGGCCCAAATACTTTTAGGTGCTTAATGATGCTAAAATACTTTCTAAATTTGTATAACACTGATATAGTCTTCTAGAGGAGTCCTATGCCAAAATACTTCTTCTGTTTAATAACAATGAATTTAAGTAGTCCCAGGAGAAAATATTTAAAATATTATGATTTCTCAACTTCCTACTTCATTAAAATACATTGCTTCCAGAGGGATAGGGAGGGTTAAGAGGGAGCTGGGTGTGGTCATAAAAGGACCACATGGAAGGATCCTTGTGTATTGAAATTGTTCATATCCTGACTGTGGCCCTTGATAAAGCTACACAGCTAATAAAAGTGTACGGATCTTAAGACTGAAGGGGTTAAGAACAAGCCTCCCAAAGGTATGCCACTTTGGCATGTGAATTATTTTGAAGGCAAATGAGACCCCGAGGACTCATGAGAAAATTTATGTCTCCCTGAAAGAATTTAAATTAGGGGCCTGCCCATAATAAGTTATCCCCAGAAATAACATTTTACGACCTATCTATATGGCAGGCAAATTTCTATTACTGAATGCCTGCTCTTCTTATTGTCTTGGAAACGACTTCCTCCTCCGTGAAGCCCCAATGAACCTTACCTCATGCTTAGCTCAGATGCCACATGTACCTCGTTTTAACTTTCTGTCACTAAAGCTCTCATGTACGTGGGGTTCCCAGATGTATGTATGCATAAAATTTGGTTATTTTCTTTTGGTAATCTGTCTCATGAGAATTTAATTATTAGACCAGCTGGAAGAACCTAGGCTAGAGGAACATTTCTTCCTCTCACACCACACACACACACACACACACACACACACACACACAACATATAACACATACACACCACATACACACATACAACACACAACACACACAACACACACAACACACAACACACACACAACACACACCACACATACGCACACACAACACACAACACACACACATGCATACACATGCAGGCTAGTACAAGTAAAACAGAAAAGTTTAAAAAGATGGCCAAATTGTATCAATGTCAATATCAGTTTGGAAACATGTTACCATTGGAGAAAACCAGGTAAACAGTACACAGGATCTTTTCTGTATTATTTCTTACAACTGCGTGTGAATCAGTTAAAAATGTGTTATTTCTGCTTCATATTTACTTACCTTTAGTATTTCAGATGATATGAAAATAATCTGAGATAATGTATGTAAAAGCTCTTAAAAGAAAAATATCATGTAAATGAAATATGTATTTATGACAGGTCAGATGTTATGTCCCATTGGCCAAGCATTGACTTGACCATAAGGATTGCTTAGCAAATGCTTTAAGAATAAATATGATCCCGTCTATCATGCTATTAGAAATATAATAGCAATATGATAAATGTACCCAGAAAAATTGTGTGATTGGACATTGAGAGATGATGAGTACTAGATTTGGAAAATTTAATTTAAAGCATAATATTAAATAGATGAATGGCTGATGAAATGAGCAAGCAAAATTACCCAGTAGCTGAATAAATGTGTTTTTATTTTTGTTGTGTTTTAGTCTAATTATCAACAAGAGAAAAAGCCCATTTCTCAAAACAAATAAATGCAGAATTCCTCCAAAATATAAAATCCCAGAGGGGTTTTGTGGCAATCCTTATAGCCAAGTCATTGCTTGGCCAATGGGCCATGTCATCTGAACTGTCATAAATATGTATTTCATGTATATGATATTTTGGACAGAATGAGGACAAAGATTAAAAGCAAAATTGCTTAAAGCCAATTCCCTTTAGGTTCTGTACACCTCCTATAGACACCTTGATGTCAGCTTGGCGGAACCCCATTTTGGGCACATAGCATGAAATGTTCTCCGAAGGCATGTGTAAAATGTGGTTTTCGGTTGCTGCTGTCTCTGAGATCTTGACCCAACAGGGAGGCAGCAATTCTACAACTAGGACAAAGACAAAGACAGCCTAGCATGTCATCATGCTCCCCCTTCTATAAGTAAGTGTCAAATTTGGCTTTTCATGGCTCTTCAAATTCTCCAATATAAATAAAATGTACATATTAGCTAAAAGATAAAATCTTATTTTATCATTCATCTCCTAGATTCCTGGTTTTTAAATTTAATGGACAAGTAAAATTACCTGAATTCTTAAAAATCGTGGGCAGGCATAAGCTGGTAGAAATGTTACAACTTGTTCATAAACTTTTTCCAAGTCTAAAGACTTATTTGGTTTTAATGTAATAGAGGCCATTCCTGCTTTTCCTTCACAATCTGAAAAAGAAGTTTGAAATAGAGTCTATTTACAAGTACTAGGTGCATTTTAAAAATAGTCCTGCATTACTATTGTTGTAAAGGGAGACATTACACATATTGCAGCAATGACAATGGGACGGTAACATAAATGAGTGGGTCCTTCCCTGAGCATAACGATCTATTCCCTAGGAATAATTTAGGAACAAGGAAGGGCAGAGTCTAATCCTAAATATCTGCACTACAATAATGAAATAGATGGAATGGAAAACACCATCAATGACCCATAATTTGCATCTTACCACCACTAATATAAAATATTAAGAAGAAATATGTATTAAGAAGAGAAATGTCCACAATAAGCATCAATGCAAAAAACAAAGGGCATGTCTTTATTCAGAGGCTGGTGTGGTCCTAGTACATCCACAGATCGCTTCCTGCATGTCACGCCGCCCGGAGGAGTTCCCAGGGGCCTGGAGTCTCCCGCAGCATTTCCCCGGCACCCAGTGGCTGGCTATCAGAGCAACACCCCTTCCTCTGCTCCCCTATGCACACTCTCACCCCACCCGACAATATTGTCATTAGTTAAAAAAAAAAAAAAAAAAGACAGTGACGAGGAATCCCGTGATTTCAAGTTGGTCACTTTTTAAAAATATATATATTTTGCTGAGACCGGGTTGGCTCAATGGATAGCGTCAGCTTGGGGACTGAAGGGTCCCGGGTTCGATTCTGGTCAGGGGCATGTACCTTGGTTGCTGGTACATCCCCAGTGGGGGGTGTGCAAGAGGCAGCTGATCGATGACTCTCTCTCTCCCTTCTTCTCTGTACGAAATCAATAAGATATATTTAAAAAAAAAATATATATATATATTTTATTGATTTTTTACAGAGAGGAAGAGAGAGGGATAGAGAGTTAGAAATATCGATGAGAGAGAATCATCGATCAGCTGCCTCTTGCACACCCCCTACTGGGGATGTACCAGCAACCAAGGTACATGCCCTTGACCAGAATCAAACCCGGGACCTTTCAGTCCGCAGGCCGACGCTCTATCCACTGAGCCAAACCGGTTTCAGCAAGTTGGTCACTTTTGTCATTTCCACCATGACGATACAGTCCTCACATGCATTTTTATAAAGGTAAGTGAGGCTAAACAATTTAAAAATATTTTTTAAGAGGTTCAACTTAACTACGAGTCAGTGTTCTTAAACATTTAAACTAGAACATGTTTCTGTTTAGTGGCATGCATAAACTCCAGTCTGAAAGAGAAAAATAATAGACTATTGAAAAGCAGTGAGTCACTGACCAGAATGTTTGAGCTCTGCTTAAAAACAAACACATATATTAAAATTCAATGGGAAAAAAATCAACCCACACTAAATAAAAAGCAAAAATCATAAAAATTTCAATGGGTTCCTTTCCCCTGATGTGGCCATGAAGTTGGTCAGCTTGCTCTAGGGCATTATTTGCCATAACAAGATTGAGATAATTATCAAATATATATATATATATATATATATATATATATATATATATATATATATATATAATGTTGAATTAGTAAGAAATGTTGAATTGCAAAACTAAAAAAAAGTTGGCATATAATTCTCTCTGAGAATCCTTCCCAAACCCAAAATATATTCATACCTGGCACTGCTACACCATATACGTTAGATTCTTGTATGAAATCCAACATTCCAATAATATCAGCAACCTCCGTGGTTGCAATGTTTTCTCCTTTCCATCTAAATAAAACACAAGTGCAGTTAGTACACCTATATCTGAAGAACTAGGTGCCCACTTTTAGTTTTAGTGCCTTGCATTTGTCTCTGTGCAAACACCTAGTAACGAAAAATAATGGCAGTTTTCAAAACAAAATACATATTCTAAGGAACCAATTTGTTGATAACTCAACAGAAACAGTATCTATTTTTTAGTTAAAATTACTTTATCTATGTCTCCGTGGTATAAACTGCTTACTGAAAAATGTTTTTTTATGATATGTCATAAAAATAAAAGCATGATAATCCTTTTTATTTTGTAATATAACAGTTGAGTAGAAAATGCCCCCTATCTCTAATGACAGAAAAAACTGAAAGAAAAGCTATAGTTAGTTGCCTTTCACTGTACTGAACCCTTTTGATTTCTAGGGATTAATCCCTTTGGCTCTTTCAGTACATATGAATAGATATTTTATTCTAATTAAAATAAATGTTAATTGATTTCAGGGAGGAAGGAGAGGTAGAGATAGATAGAAACATCAATGATAAGAGAGAATAATTGATCATGTGCCTCCTACATGCCTCACACTGGGAATAGAGCCCTGACCAGGAATCAAACCACGACCTTCAGGTTCAGATTACTCAATCACGCCAGCAGGCCTTAAAATAATTTTAATTTTAAATAGTGTGAGCTCCTTATTTGGTATAAGAAAGTGAGGAAGTATAATTCATTTATTTAAGCAATTTCTGAATGTCTATTGTTTGTCCTTCACTGTTCTATCATCATTGATTAGGAAAGTAAAATGTCATAAGCTTAAAGTAATTTTAACTATTAAGAAAGAAAATCTAAAAAGGGAAATATTGCTGTTTCATTATTTTTATCACTAGGTCAAGAAGTGGACCATATTTGACCAAATTGGTTTTAACCCTACCATTTAGATTTCATATATGTGTACCTATTAGATATGCTAAGAAAAAGGAGCTTACTAATTTGGACCAAATGGTTTCATTAAAATAATTATAAAAACTGACATCAACATTTAATTTATATTTCAATCTAGAAACAGAAGGCTGGTAGATTTTTAAATGGGGAGACATGATTGAGTCTGCCCTGAAGGTAAAGAGCTTGCGGTCTATAATGCTTCCACAGAGCCCTGCTCAGCGCACAGTTCCTGGTCACAGAACAGGCAAGGTAACCGATGAGGTCTCATACCTGAAAGTGTCTCCAAGACGGTCACAAAAATAGAGAAAATTCTCGTGGTCTTGGACCATTAAATCTCCTGTGTTAAAGTAAACATCTCCCTTCTTGAAAACATCACAGAGCAATTTCTTCTCCGTGTGCTGTTTATTCCCAACGTAGCCAAAGAAGGGATTCTTTTCGGTCACGCGGGAGATGAGAAGTCCCGGTTCTCCTGTGAGAGAAAGGCATCCTCAGTGATCTGATTCACGTCTGACCCACACAACTGTCTCCTCTCTGCCTTTCCTCTGAACTTATTTTATTATGTTTAACATCATTTGCTCTGGGTGCTCAGAGCACAAACACCACATCTTTTCACCGTCTGCCACAAATGGAATTATTTTGGGAAAACTAACAAAAAGGAAATGGAATGTGAAGAAAGTATATTAAATTTATTTTACACCCTGGCTGGTTAGAGCGGTGGCTACTTTTCTTTTGGATTATGCAGATTTTACCACTGCTCATAATGGAAATTCTATAAATAACAACCATAGTAATAATTTTAAAAAGGAGATGATATCAGCAATATTTCCTGGGCACTTACTATGTAGCAAGCCCCGAAACTGCCATTTTGTTTATTCTTTACAGAAATGCTTTGAAATTAATAATTATAATCGCCATTTCGCAGGGAAGAAACTAGGGACCAGAGTCCAACAGATAGACAGGAATGAACCTAGTAATCAAATTCAAGTCTCAATAATTTTTGCAACCAGGTTTTTGTATAATACTATCTCTGATATAATTAATATGTTATTAGAAGTTTAGGAAAATGTCTTATTCCTCTGGTATGTTAGTTTGGTAACCCTCGATGGGCAAGAGATGAAACACGATATTAGTTTTACTATAGACACATTGTCAAAAGTAATTTCTCAATAACATTTATTCAAATGAATCCAGATTTTGGCCAGCAATCTGCAAGGTGAGAAATGACTTCCAAGAGAAGGGTGGAAGACAAGGAGAACAGCAATCACTGCCCCAGACAATTTCAAGGCTATTGGTGACTTGTTTTGTTCCTTGTGAAGCGAGTGAACATCTTTGTGATGAATTAAATGGGTTAAAGTCCAGCTTTTTTTTTTTTTTTTTTTTTTTTTTTTTTTTATTATTTATTTATTTATTTATTTATTTATTTATTTTTTATTTTACATATTTTATTGATTTTTTTTTTGCCCCCCTCCTTCCCTCCCATGTATCCCCTCCCTCCCCAGAGTTTTATGTCCATTGGTTGTACTTATATGCAGGTATACAAGTCCTTGGGTTGATTTATTGTCTCCTCCAGACCCTCCTCCCCTCCCCGTTGTAATTTGACAATCTGCTTGTTGCTTTACTGTCTCTATATCTATCTTTTGGTTCATCAGTTTATAATGATCTTTATTATCCACAAATGAGTGGGGTCATGTGGTGTTTCTCTTTCATTGATTGGCTTATTTCACTCAGCATGATGTTCTCCAATTCCATCCAGGTTGCTGCAAATGATGAGAATTCCTTCTTTTTTATGGCAGCATAGTATTCCATTGTGTAGATGTACCAAAGTTTTTGGATCCAATCATCAGCTGACGGGCACCTCGGCTGTTTCCAGATTCTGGCTATTGTAGATTGTGCTGCTATGAACATAGGGGTGCATATATCCTTTCTGATTGGTGTTTCTAGTTTCTTGGGATATATTCCAAGAAGTGGGATTACTGGGTCAAATGGGAGTTCCATTCTCAGTTTTTTGAGGAAACTCCACACTGTTCTCCACAGTGGTTGCACCAGTCTGCATTCCCACCAGCAGTGCACGAGGGTTCCTTTTTCTCCGCAACCTCGCCAACACTTGTCGTTTGTTGATTTGTTGATGTTGGCCATTCTGACAGGTGTGAGATGGTACCGCATTGTTGTTTTGATTTGCATCTCTCGGATAATTAGTGACTTTGAGCATGTTTTCATGTGCCTTTTGGCCTTCTTTCTGTCTTCTTTTGTAAATATTCTATTTAGGTCCATTGCCCATTTTTTAATTGGATCATTCATCTTCCTTTTATTTAGTTGTATCAGCTGTCTGTAGATGTTGGAGATTAAACCTTTATCCGTGGTATTATTTGCAAATATATTCTCCCATACCGTGGGCTTTCTTGTTGTTTTGTTGATGGTTTCTTTTGCTGTAAAAAAACTTTTTATTTTGATGTAGTCCCATTTGTTTATTTTCTCTTTAGCTTCCATTGCCCTAGGGGCAGTATCAGTGAAGAAGTTCTTTTGGCATACGTCTGAGATTTTGCTGCCTGCGGATGCTTCTAGTATTTTTATGGTTTCCCGTCTGATGTTTAAGTCCTGTATCCATTTTGAGTTTATTTTTGTGTATGGTGTAAGTTGGTGATCTAGTTTCATTCTTTTGCATGTGTCTACCCAATTTTCCCAACACCATTTATTGAAGAAACTGTCTTGACTCCATTGTATATTCGTGCCTCCTTTGTCAAATATTAATTGAGCATAGTGATTTGGGTTGATATCTGGGTTCTCGATTCTATTCCATTGATCTATATGTCTGTTCTTGTGCCAGTACCAGGCTGTTTTGAGAACAGTGGCTTTGTAATACAGTTTGAAGTCTGGTATTGAGATCCCTCCTACTTTACCCTTCTTTCTCAGGATTGCTGTGGCTATTCGGGGTCTTTTATTGTTCCAAATGAACTTTTGGAGAGTTCTTTCTAGGTCGGTGAAATATGCCGTTGGTATTTTAATGGGGAGTGCATTGAACCTATAGATTGCTTTAGGAAGTATGGACATTTTGATGATGTTGATTCTACCGATCCATGAACATGGTATATTCTTCCATCTCTTTACATCTTCCTCTATCTCTTTTTTCAGTGTCATGTAGTTTTCTGCATATAGGTCCTTTACTTCCTTAGTTAAATTTATTCCTAGGTACCTTAATTTTTTTGGTGCGATGGTAAATGGAATTGCTTTTTTAATCTCTATTTCTATAGTTTCGCTGTTGGTGTATAGAAATGCCGTGGATTTCTTGGCATTAATTTTGTATCCTGCTACATTGCCAAATTCATTTATTAAGTCAATTAGTTTTTTAATGGAGTCTTTTGGGTTTTTTATGTACAGTATCATGTCATCTGCAAATAAGGATAACTTTACTTCTTCTTTTCCAATTTGGATGCCTTTTATTTCCTCCTCTTGTCTAATTGCAATGGCTAGTACTTCCAGTACTATGTCAAACAGGAGTGGCGAGAGTGGGCATCCCTGTCTTGTTCCTGTTCTTAGAGGGAATGGTTTTAGTTTTTGCCCATTGAGTATAATGTTGGCTGTGGGTTTATCATATATAGCTTTTATTATGTTGAGGTATGATCCTTGTACTCCCACCTTGTTAAGAGTTTTTATCAGGAAAGGGTGTTGGATTTTATCAAATGCTTTTTCTGCATCAATTGATATGACTATATGATTTTTATCTTTCAGTTTGTTTATGTGATGTATCACGTTTATTGATTTGCGGATATTGTACCATCCTTGCATTCCTGGAATAAATCCTACTTGGTCATGGTGTATGATCTTTGTGATGTTCATCTGGAGTCTATTTGCTAGAATTTTGTTGAGGATTTTGGCATCTATGTTCATGAGGGATATTGGCCTGTAATTCTCTTTCATTGAGTTGTCTTTATCTGGTTTTGGTATTAGGGTGATGCTGGCTTCATAGAAGGAGTTTGGAAGTGTTCCTTCCTCTTGGATTTTTTGGAATAGTCTGAGGAGGAAAGGTTTTAGTTCTTCCTTGAATGTTTGGTAAAACTCTCCTGTGAAGCCATCAGGCCCTGGGCTTTTGTTTGCTGGAAGCTTTTTGATGACTGTTTCAATTTCTTCCCACGTCACTGGTCTATTAAGATTTTTAGATTCTTCCTGATTGAGTTTTGGAAGGTTGTATTTTTCTAGGAATATGTCCATTTCGTCCAGGTTGTTCAGTTTGTTGGAATAGAGTTGTTCGTAGTATTTTGTAACAATCTGTTGTATTTCGGTGGGGTCTGTTGTTATTTCACCTCTTTCATTTCTGATTTTGTTTATTTGGGTCCTCTCTCTTTGTTTCTTGGTTAGCCTGGCTAGAGGTTCATCTATCTTGTTTATTCTTTCAAAAAACCAGCTCTTGGTTTTGTTGATCTTATGTATTGTTTTTTTGGTCTCTATGTCGTTTATCTGTGCTCTGATTTTTGTTATTTCCTTCCTTCTGCTTACACTGGGCTTTTCTTGTTGCTCCTTTTCTAATTCTTTGAGTTGTAGAGTTAGATCATCTGTTACCCTTTTTTCTAGTTTTTTGCAATAGGCTTGTAAGGATATGAACTTCCCTCTCAAAACTGCTTTTGCTGTGTCCCATAGATTTTGGATTGTTGTGTTTTCATTGTCATTTGTTGCCAGGATGTTTTTAATTTCTTCCTTGATTTCTCTGGTAACCCAGTCCTTGTTTAATAGCATGCTGTTTAATCTCCATGTGTTTGATTTCTTTGGATTATTTTTATTGTAGTTAATTTCCAGTTTTATGCCATTATGGTCTGAGAAGATACTTGATACGATTTCTATCTTCTTAAATTTGAAGAGACTTTGCCTATGTCCCAAAATGTGGTCTATCTTTGAGAATGTCCCATGTGCACTTGAGAAGAATGTATATTCTGCGGCTTTGGGGTGGAGTGTTCTGAAGATGTCAATTAATTCCATCTGGTCTAGTGAGTCATTTAGGATTGATATTTCTTTGCTGATTTTTTGTTTAGATGATTTGTCAAAGGGTGACAGAGGGGTATTAAAATCTCCTACTATGATTGTATTGCTATGAATCTCTCCCTTAATGTCCTCCAGCAGTTTTTTTATGTATTTGGTTGCTCCTGTATTGGGTGCATATATATTTACCAGGGTAATTTCTTCTTGTTGGATTGTTCCCTTTAGAATTATGAAGTGGCCTTCATTATCTCTTATTATGTCCTTCAATCTGAGATCTAATTTGTCAGATATAAGTATTGCTACCCCAGCTTTTTTTTCATTTCCATTTGCCTGGAAAACTTTTTTCCATCCCTTCACCCTCAGTCTGTGTGCATCTTTTTTTCTGAGGTGGGTTTCTTGTAGACAACAGATGTATGGGTCTTGTTTTCTTATCCAATCTGTTACCCTATGTCTTTTTATTGGAGCATTTAAACCATTTACATTTAAAGTTATTAATGATAG